AATAATTTATATTTCGTTTATTCCGACTTGATATAATGTTCTTACTTTTTGACTTGATAATCTCCCTTATTTCTTGATCAATTTTTGGTTTTTCATTCTTCATTGTTCGACTTTTGTGTCGGATTCTTTTTCCGTTCTACTTTGAGCACCTTAGACTCTATTTGCTTTTATTCTTTTACAGTTTTTCTTGCTCGCTTTGTTCTATTCTTAATTTTCCTCTTCTTTTTCTTTCATTCCCTTTTCTTTCATACTTTCTCATGCTTCTTTTTTGTCTGCCATTATTATTAGCATTATTAGCATTTGTCTGCCATTATTATTATTTCTATATTTATAAATTTTTAAATAACTTTCTTTTTTTTATTTGTCCAGTCTCTTTCTTTCTCCATTTGTTTAGTTTCTTTTTTCTTTCTTTCTTTCTTTCTTTGTCGAGTCTCTTTCTTTTCTTATTTGTCCAATTTCTTTCTTTCTTTCTTTCTTTCTTTCTTTCTTCCTTTCTTTCTTTCTTTCTTTCTTTCTTTCTTTCTTTCTTTTCTTATTTGTCCAATTTCTTTCTTTCTTTCTTTCTTACTTCCTTTCTTTCTTTCTTCCTTTCTTTCTTTCTTTCTTTCTTTCTTTCTTTTCTTATGTTCATGTTCTTTCTTTCTCAAAGTTTCCTTTCTTCTTTTTGTTGATCATTATTTCTTCTAACTTTTTGTATTTTTGTTTCGTTTCTTTCTTCTTTGTTTCTTTGTTTCTCCTTACTTTATATCTGTCTTTCTGTCTTTCTTTTCCTAGGTTCAGGTTTTTCTTTTCTTATTTCCTTTTTCCTTCCGTCTTTCAGTCTGTCTCTCTTTCTTTATTTGCCTATGTTCAAGTCCTTCTTTCTTTCTTTCTTTCTTTCTTTCTTCAAAATTCCCCCTTTTCTTCTTCTTGTTCGTTCTATGTTTACATCTTCTTTTCGCATATCGTTTATATTTCGGTTTCATTTCTTCTTTTTCCTTCATTTCTTTTTCTTTTTTTCGTTCAGATTTACATCCATTATCTTTTATTTTACTTTATTTACCTTTTTCCTTCTCTATAATTATTCCTTTTTCATTCTTTTCTATTTTTCCTTCTTTCTATTGTCAACATTAATTCCTTTTAATATCGTTCATTTTGGCATCAATATTCCATTCTATTACTTTAAAATTCTACTGTATTCCTTAAACATTTTTTCTTTTCCTTCCTTCCTTCCTTCCTTCCTTCCTTCCTTCCTTCCTTCCTTCCTTTACCCATTTCCTGCTTCCGTCTTGAACTTATTCTATTCTTCATTTCTTCTTTTTATTAGCTACTTCTTTTTCGTTAGAGTTTTGCCAAAATACCCGTACCAATCCACACACTGTTTCGCCACCAATAACCCAACTCCTTTACAAATGTTGCCGTCGGAGTCTCCGTATTCTAAGAGTTGCCACCATTTATCCAAACAGCCAACGATCAACCAATCGTCGACGTCCTTTCTCTCGTTCCTCTATCCGACATCCTTTTCCCCGTCTCCTACCTACCGCCCTATCAACTGCCAAGAAAACTCCCAAACCTATCCTTCCATCATTTATTCCGCTTGCGACCCGACCAACCAACTAGCCGTCCTGCCTACGGCATCCTTTTAGGATCCACCATGTTACATTTTCCCGCCAAAAAGTCGTTATACTTCTTATCTTCAACCACCTCTCTCTATCTCCCTCTCTCACATAGACATACATTCTTTTCCCGTTTTCTTCTCTTATATCCTATGTTGCGCCTCTTCTTTAACCGTCTCTCGGTCAGAACCTTGCTTTTTTTTTTGTTCTCTTTTATTTCATTTTTTTGGGGGGAGTTTGTTTGTTCGCAATATCGCTATCAACACCGCTTCCACTTCCACGACAACCACAACCAACGGATTGAACGCCCCACTTTGCCCTTCCTACCGTCCTGTCATAGTCTCCATAGTTGGAAATTCTATGAGATGAGTCAGCAGCAAAGCGCGACCCCCCAAACCCAATCGAACCCCAGTCACTTCGCCTAAGCCTTAGCCAAAACTGCCTCTCATCTGACGATCCGGACCCCAGTTGTTTCGAAAGAAGGACAAAAGGGTCTGGATTTGCCGATTGCATTTTAGGGGTTTTCTTGAGAGCAGATAGTTTTGAATAACAATATAAAGAATTTAGATTTAACAATAAAAAAACAAAACAAAATACGACAGTAACCACTTCTCCAAATACATATATGCGTATAAAAAAGCGCAAAATAACTATAACTACCATTTGTATGTATGTATCGGTATATATATATATATATATATATATATATATATATGAATTAAAAATGTTTAGAAAGAGTGCTCAGGATCAAAGATAGAGCGCTTATAGTTATAGCAAGTATGAATGTTGGATTCTGAGTGTCAGTTTCACATTTCAAAGCAATATTCAGAAGTGATTATTTCTACGTTCTCTATCTTTTTCTCTCAGGATCTCTCTCTCTCTCTCTTTCTCTTACTCAAAAACGTTTATATATATATATATATATATATATATATATATATATATATATATATGTGTATATTTTGGATTCTGGTGTCAGTTTCACATATCAATGCAATATTCAGACTGAAGTGATTATTTTACATTCTCTATCCCTTTCTCTCAGGATCCCTCTCTCTCTATATATATATTATTAATAACATCTGATATATATATATATATATATATATATATTTATATATATATATATATATATATATATATATATATATGCAGTATGTATTTGGATTCTGAGTGTTATTTTCACATTTCATTGCAATATTCAGACTGAAGTGATTATTTCTCTCTCTCTCTCTCTCTCTCTCTCTCAGGAACTCTCTCTCTCTATATATATTACTTAATAACATTTCTCTTTTAAATCACCCCTCCCCTTCCTACGAGTATATAATCTCATCAATAAAAACATTACTTTAGTCCGACGAAGCCCTTCCAGAAGACAAAACCCGTTACACAGAACATTTCCAATTTGTCATTCATCTGCTAAAATTATTGAGATATGCAGAAATTAAAGTATCATATTCTCCTCCCACCCACATATATATGGACTATGCAAATATATATAATATATATATATATATATATATATATATATATATATATATATATATATATATATATTTCAGTAACAGGAGACAATAGGAAAACTATTCTTAGGCGAAGTTTTTCGTGCTTTGAGGGACTTTATCAAGGCATATATATATATATATATATATATATATATATATATATATATATATATATATATATATATATTTGAATAAAGGTGCAATTAATTTTTACAAATTCATGAATTATTCATACAAAAAACAAAAATACAAAGGTTAATGATTTAATTGGCGAGAAATCCATCGTCGCGAACAATTCAAATAATATACAAAAACCCCGAACCTGTTTATGAATTGAAAAGATCATTGTTTCTATAAATTTCTGTTGCATGAGTTCTTATTATTTTTTTTACAAGCTTTGTCTGTTCCTACAGACATCCTCAGGTATGGAATAGATTTTGATCTTGTTTTTTCTCTCAGTAATAAGAGGACAAAAAAAATATATGTATTGTTGTAATCCGAAAATGCTATTAGAAATGAGTCATTGTTTTTGGAGCGTGCTGTCGCAACGCTGAGTTTGAATTTAAATTTTACAATTGTGCGTTCTTATACAAATATGGTGATGAGAGAATTCTTTTTTACTGGTAATTTTTCTGTCAAAGTGGCATGAACTATATTGTTCAATAATTACAGTAATGTCGCACTTATTATCCAAAGTTGCATTTGGATCAGCTATTTGTAAATTTATATATATATATATATATATATATGGAATTTATTATATATATTATTTATATATTATATATGCACGGTACTTATTGGAAAGTGCTCAATATCAGTGATAAAACCAACATATTTAGTATATATATATATATGAATAATGAGAAAGGAAAATTTATCTTAGGCGACGTCTTTCGCCTCTTGATATATATATATATATATATATATATATATATATATATATATATAAAGAAAGAACAGTAAGATATATAATCGGGTGTTCTTATAGATATTTTTATTTTTACAATATAGTGCTCAATGTAAATTTACAGAGCATTAATATTATAATTCGCTTGAGGATGAAATCGAACTAATGTCTTTAATTTAATTACAAAATTAAATTCGAAGCTTTCAGCTTCCATTTTTGAAACATGGTTAGAACTGTGTAGCGAAAAAAAACATATTTTAAATCAATTGATTTATAATATATCTATATATATATATACACAGAAATACACGTATGTAGATATAATATATATCTGAGTATCCATAATTACTTTCCAATAACTTCAATAGTTAATAAAATTAGCTGAATTTTGAATTGATCTTTTACCCTATTATGATTGATGCCTGTATTACATGAAGCAAATATACGTTCGTTGAGGAGGAGGGAAATTATATTGTAAAATAATTTTTTTTGTTTCATATCAATTTTATCATTCATCTACCAACGTAGTGACCAACTTATATCATGATCATCATTATCAACCGTTGCATGGTCATTTTTTTTAAAAAAAAACAAACCTTCCATGATGATAATTCTCTAGCCATTTCTTTTCAGTAAAGCCATTTATATAATTTCTCTTTATTCTGTCTCTTCTTTTCAACTCTGCAACAAAAAAGCAACTTTTGACTTCATCTGCTATTTTCTCTTCTTGATATATGTCTCTCTACCGCAATTTTTGCTGTTTAATTAAATCTATGATATCTCTATCTTTTCGGTTCTTTGATACATGTGAACTGTTTTCTCGGAGTTATCCTTTAATTTCTTCTTTCCATTACTCTTTGTGTATTTTTTACAATTTTCTTTTCAAGTGATTTTGTTTAATGTCTCACCTGAACGTCGTACCTGTCATCATACATTCGTTGTACAATTAATGTTTTAATCAAATTGCGAAGACAAAGAGTTCATTTCTTCGATGCTTTTGTTAAATACTTTCCATCCTATTGTCATGCCTTGCTTTATATTTTCATACGGTCTCTCCTCAATATTATCTCCTGTTGCATATTTTAATTGTCTTTTTTCCCCCCATCTAATCCTTTCGAACAAGTTCAAATTGGGCATTATTTTCCGTTTTATTTCTGTTCATTTTTAAGCCTACATTGAGAATTTTTCTGTTGTCATTTCTTCTTTCTCATAATTCTTCAGATTATTCTGCTATTAATAAAATGCCCACAACAATACATAGATGGTTTACACATTCCCCGTTTAAATATATAATTAGTTTATGTCAAATCCTGACCTCTTTCCTCGCACTATGTTTTCTATCAGGTGTTTTGAGGCTACACTTCCTATCGACTAAGCACCAGTTAAGCAACCTTTTGCTCCACCTGTTATTATTTCGTATTGCGATGTCTTCCGTACTGGTCAGCTTTTGTAGTTTAATAAATTATATATCTTTTAGGTGGCTTTGTTCTCTGTTTTATGGTGACTTCTTTTTTGTCTTTACGGATTATCGTCTGCATTAACCCTCTAGTAAACTGTGTGTATTTTAAGTTTGCTTTGTAAAGATTTTGTTAAACACTAAGTTTCAAGCTGGCATATCACAGTTTACTTTAGACATTCATTATACACTTTACATTTTAATCATATTAGCATTTCAGTATTTTTATTAAGTGCGTTTCACCTTATCGTTAAATGTCATTTTATTATTTTTCATTTTTAAATATAGATTGAACTTTTCACTATTCAGATCATTTGTAATTCTTCCGATGATTCAGATATTATTAAGCACTGAGAGAGTTTATATATTCTCTGTTTATTTCCAGCGCATTTTCCGGAAACACTTTCAAGTTTTCTGTAAATAGAAAGTTTTGCTGATATCTTATCAACTTATGTTTTCAAAACTTTATTTTGTTCGTCTCTTTGTGTATTCGAATCATTGCAGCACTGATATCGTACATATTATCACTAAGATTTAAATAGGTTCCTTAATACTCTATCTTTACAACGCGTTAAAGATTACTGAGTGTTATACCGAGTCAAATGCCTTTTCATAGTCAATAAAATCTAAACAGAACGGTTTGTTATATTTTATTGTTTTTTTTTCTTGACCCGAAGTTCTATGGTGTGTAGGTTTTCTATTGGGCATTAAGTAACGTAAAGCAAAACAGTTAACCTATCTAATTTACTTCTTTTTGATAGTAATTAGACGTATTTGATAGTTTATCTCTTTTTTTTATAATGCAGGATCTTTATTCTGAGCCTGACATTTTGCAGTATTTTTTCTTTTCCGAATATGTCTGCTAATTCTTTATGTAATTCTTTTACATCATTCAAAATGTCGGCTACTATGCCATATATGTCTTGTGCTTTTCTGAGTTTCACATTTTGAGGAACAGATCTTATAGTTCATCTGTTATTACTTCAGACACAACAGTAATATCTACCGGAATGACTGTTGTTCATATTTTGATTTTGGAACCATAAGGTGTGCTTACAACTTCTTGTTTATTATTAAGATTTTGTCGCTACATTTTTGAGGTTCTTAGTTTCTGTTTTTCAATAAAAAGCAATTTGCTGTTTAAGTAGGTCGTGGATTGAGCAGGTTTCAAACTCTAACCTTTTCTGAAAACGTCTTCGCTTCTTAGCAATTCTTTTTCGTTTTTGTCGCTTATTTTCTTGTTAATTCTAATGTTCACTTTGAGTTATCTCCCTTTCTTGTTACTTCCGCTTTATTTCTCTGTTATGTCTGACGCTACAATAATTATAGATAATTTTCTATTCATATTTTCTATGCGATATTTATTATTCCACAAAACTTGGAATCACTTCCTGATTTGTATCTGAAATTCGATTATCTTCCCTATGATGCAATTACAGTTTTCTTTAATACTACTGTTCATCTAATATAAGGCCCAAGAAAGACTCAAAAGGTAGAGGATGGCCGAATAAGTTTTGTAGTAAATAATATATATATATATATATATATATATATATATATATATATATATATATATATATATATTTATACATATATATATATATAATATTATAAATTAAGGGTCAAGTAAAAATGCCAAAAACTTTTTATCATTGAAAAAGCCAAACGACACTCCAAAAATGGATGTCATTGTGAGCAGGCACCTCTACCCCCCCAACTTAACTTCACCTGATTTAGAAAATAACTTATATTTGATACATAAGTTGTCTAGGGAAATTAACACACCCCTTATTAAAATGATTGAATATGTTCTGTAACCATAACAGTTTAAAATATTAAAATTATCTGAGCTTATATGTGAAGTAAGCTTCTAAGTTGGTTATTTCAAACATCGCTTGAGAATGGAATGGAGATATGGATTTTACATTTAATTTTATAATTAAATTTAAAATTTTGGTTTTTGTTTTGAAACATAGTAATTAATGTGTAGCGATGGGACCACATTTTTGAAATTGTAAATAATTATAATTTTATGCTCTACGGTTTATATAACGAGCACTGTTTCTTTAAAAAAAGAAAAATAATAATTTAGAACACCAGATTGTAAAACTTACTGTTCTTTCTTATTATTTTAATATATATATATATATATATATATATATATATATATATATATTATGAATTATATATATATATACAATTTTACATTTACATACGCTCTATCTCTGATATTGCGCTCTTTTGCCCATAAATATTGCATACCTTAAAACTATATTTTTATCATATATATATATATATATATATATATATATATATATATATATATATATGTGTGTGTGTGTGTGTGATAAAAATACAGTACAGTTTTTTGACACCAATGGAAATAAATATTTTGTGAACAGAAAAATGAATAAAGCAATAAACGCAAGAAGAATAAATTAAAACACATTTGTTGCGACAACCTGACGCAGGTGTCTTCTCAGAGCCCCAATCTCTTTATTGGTGTTTTGGGGTTGTTTTTTTGTTTTCTTGTTTTGTTTTGTTTTTAGTTTTTTTTTAAATCTTTAGTGTTGTGAGAAGTCTACAAAGAAAGTTGAGAAAACTATATTTTTTTTTCAAAGTTCGCCCTAACTTCTTCAATCCCGAGAGAAATAAATTCTCTCGTCGCTGATCTTAATTCCTTCACATTTCATTTTTTTTTTTATATATATTTTTTAATCTCTCACCGAAATGATCACACGGAGTCTAAAAACGAACTATTTTAATCACCTGAATGCACCTGTTCCTTTTTGGCAATGTTTTTCGTTTGCCATTTACTGAAGGTTGTCTATTATAGTGTCAGATGCAATTCTCCAGAGAATAAAGAACACATTCTAACACAAGCGCAGACACATTACAAACTCAGAGAAAGAGAAAAAAATAATTCATTATAAATTTACTTCAGCAAAATACAAAAAGCTATTTGACACTCATTTAGTATCGAACAACTTCCGAAGCGACAGAGGTGTTCAGAACATGCGAACAACGAAGAAGTTTCATAATATGCAGATGACACAGTGTGGCTAGCAAACAAGTAAAGGAAACTACAAGAGCACCCAGCGAAGGTAGTGAGGGAAAGTAAGAAGAAAGAACTAAACATTAGTTGCAAGATAGAATGCATGGTTGTCAGCAAAAGGGAGCTGTCCAACATACAAATTACAAATTGGAGATAACAAAATCAAACAAATGCAAGCAGTAAAATATCTGGAAAGTGTTTTAACGGAGGACGGCAAGTACGATATTGCAATCCGAAGGTTCATTGGAATAGCGAAAGATGCCTTCCAAAAGCTAAGCAAAGTATTAAGAAACAGTAAGATTTTTGGGAAGTGTTTTAACTGAGGACAACAAGTACGGCACTGAAATCCGAAGGTTCATTGGAATAGCGAAAGTTGCCTTCCAATAGCTAAGCAGAAATGATCGTTAGAAACAAAAGAAAAGTACTGAAGTGTTATGTAATATCGCTGCTCCTATATAGCAGTGAATGCTTGACAATCTCTTTTCGGATGAGGAACAGATTTGAAACAACAAACATGTAATTCTACAGAAGAATGCTGAGAATGCCGTGGACTGAACATGTGAACAATTACGAAATTTTAGAGAAAATGGAACCAAAAAGGAGGGTTATAATTGATATAAGAAAACGACAGTCTGAAATTCTCAGAGCATATATTTAGGAAAGAGGGCATGGGGATTTTGATACTCATAAGACAGCAAGAAGGAAAGAGGAAAACATCGTATAACCTGTCTAGCGTGCTTGAGAAAATGGATGTTGGAACAAGTTTTAAGAGAGATAAAAAATTATTAGAGCTCCAAAGGACAGGAAATGTTGGATATCCATGATCATCGACGTTGTGAAGAGACACGGTGCATAGAAGAAGAAGAATGCTCAATATCAGAAAGGGACAGTTATAATTTTGGGGTCACATAATCAGAACAGAGGGTTTGGAGTGTTTCCCACTCACAGGACAAGGAGGAGCAAAATGAAATAATGAGTACCCTACGTATCGAACTTGTGTAAATGACTGACAGAACAGTGACAAATAGGAAATATGAAGTTTAAAACATTGTTTTTTTTTTTTTAATGACATTTTCCTTCAGGACATAGGCGATCATGATTGTACACTGCTTCTTTTTCTTTATTAACTGTGAATTGCTGTGCATTCTTGGGAAAATAATGGAGCATTCAAATTGCTTTCTGCAGGTTTGGAATTCAGGGCATTCTTTTTCTTATACCGGTTGCCACCCACTGCTAAATCGTTCTGTTTATCTTCCTATTTAATCGATATCTAGTGGATATTCTGTTCGATATTCACAGAAAAGCGTGAATAATGGTTATTCGGCCAAAATATAAACCCGGATCTCCGATTCCACTACCCGTACCGTTAACTCTTCCACAATGATCTGAGAGCGCCTTCTTTTTATGCTTAGTACGCTACAATGTCACTAGTATAGAGAATATAGTGCTATACAACATTAATAAGCTAGGAGACTGTTGTAGAGTAGTTTTCACAGTGGAAGCTTGTATTTCACTAAGTCGTTCCTAAATTAGGTTCGATGTACAAAACGTTAGGAACTTGAAAATAATAGTTAATGACGCAGCAATCTAGTTGTGGTGGTTGATACTTTAATGTCCGATATCGACTGACTCACTCAACTCACTGAGCCCACTGGCGACTGCCACTACTTATTATCTGTGGGAGAGTCTATTTACAATAGAATAGGTATGATCTAGTATAACAGAGACCATATTGACAAATTAAGTATGGAAAAAAGTTACAAACATGGAGTATATTTTGTATAGCATTACACAATTTTGTCTGACTGAAGTTCGCTAGAGATATATGAACAATCCTCATGCGTCTTAAGAGAATATTTCAATAGAAATATTACCAAATCGATGGCTTAAGAGAGCGGAACTACAGTTTTGAGTAGCAAGCTTCACCAATATCGCACCTTTAGATTGTCTTATATTTATGATTATGGGTAAGTATGTGTTTTCTAAAAGAAAATTCGAAATATTGCTACAGAATTCGTAGGCTAGTCCCAAATAAAAAAAAAACTACTGGTCAGAACTCTGACAACCTAAAATGAATGGGGTTAGTTTGACGACCCAAACTGATTGGTTTGAACCCCATAGGCATGGTATTCTGACAGGAATAGATTGCTTTAAGTTCTAATATAATAAATGCATGTAAACAGCCATTACGTTTGTCATAGTAGAAGACACTTCTAGCGAAGACAGTTCAACGCTAGAAGAGTTCTTAGTGATACAAACCTGAATAGTAGTTGGCCAAACTTTCTCTCTCTTGCTTCCTCCAAGAAATAATACTACTACTACCATCTTCCACGAAATAAAGGAGTAAAAAGTAATCTAAACAATATTTTCCGTTGTCCCTTTAGTCTGTAATGTAGCGTTGGAGCCAGAGGGATTACTGATAGACCACAAAACGCCAGAGACGAAACGAAAGTAAAACTTCGGGATTTAAAGAATTTAATTGAAGAAGACAGTTTCGATAACACCTGAAGTGTATGTAAGTGCTACTTGAAGATGTTTTTTAATCATTTAATCCCAAAGAAGGCAATGAAGCCACTAAGACGTAAGGGGTTGCTGAGTATTAGATAAAAATCACTATTAAGGAGTGAGAACAATAAAAGAACAAGAAGACCGTAGATAGCGATTTACATTGTATTTAAAGTATGGAAGATCAAAGTTGACTGAGAAGCAAGAAGCCAGAAGATAGTTCCACAACGTCATAGGAGAAACTGTTGGCACAGGACTTACAGCTACGCCTAGCCATACATACACACACACACACACACATACACACACATGTTAGAGGGCACCTCGAGGTGGTGTAATGGCTAGCAAGCTTGTCTCGCTAGAACAACTACGAATGAGTAGTGAGTTCGATCCTCACTGGGTGCTCCGTACGTTCAGCCTTGTGCCACACCCAAGCTACGCTTAGAAAATCACTATACACACATTTTACAGTTATAGATATAGAGAATCATATTTAACCGTTTCTAGTAAATTGCCAAATTCAAAAGAAAATAGGCTTACAGACGCATCGATTTGAAATACCGGTTCCCGTACGGTCAGCGAAGTTAAGCAAGGTCGAGCTTGGTCCGTATCTAGATAGGTGACCGATTAGGAATTCCAGGTGCAGCAAGCATGGATGTGCTTGTAGTATAATGGATAATGGCTCAGAATTGTTAATCGGAGAGCCGAGTTCAAATTTCAGTTGGGTTAGTTATATTCACTTACCCGCAAATACCCTTGGAAAAAGCTATGAACCTGTCTCTTCTACCCTCAGCTATGGGTTAATTAGTAAGACATGTATCACTAAATCATTACCATCCTCCCCATCCTGCAAAAAAATAAAATTCTTACACTCTTAAATCATTTTTTGGCTTTGAATAACCTACAAACAATTTAGTTGGATTTCTGGGATGAAGGATTATCGTTATTTACGCTATTTATATTCGGGATATTTTCCACATTTTTTGTCGTTATCACAACGTTTCGGACGTTGTAACCTCCGGCCTTCCTCAGGTGTATATCGATCTGGATAACCTACATGGAATTCTTTGAAACTTTTATTTAATCTACGGTGGTAGACTGTTTTTCTTGCACAGTCCATGTCTAGATATATCGTGTAGTTCTTATTTTAAGTATTGCTCAATTATTGCTCGCCCTGTTTACAAGTACTCACTGCCCGACCCATGGATTGATCTCACAATCACTATGTCACCAAATTCACAAACCAACGTTTCAATCCGTTTGGCTGTTGTTGTGATAATAACGACAAAGATGAGTCCGAATATAAATAACGTTCATTATTTTCATTATTCGGACTATTGTCCTCATCTTTGTCGCCATATTTATTACAACGTTTCGGCCGTTGTACGCTCCGACCTTCTTCAGGTGGTTGGAATGTCGAACTGAACCCTTTATTTCGCTCACTGGGATAGACTGTTCTAGTTCCACGTGCCATGTTTAATGGATGGCAGTTATCAGTTATCTCCTGTTAATTTTCCCTCTGAAAGTTCTCCACTGCCTTAACCAGGTATTGAACTCACACTCTTTGGGTCCTGTCACTGGATCTAACCAACGCTTTTATCCACTGTGCCATGTGTCCGCAAACATGGCGAAATAAAAGGTTCAGTTCGACATTCCAACCACCTGAAGAAGGCCGGAGCGTACAACGTTGTAATGAATATGACGACAAAGATGTGGACAATAGCCTGAATAATGTAAATAATGTACATAATACCTTATCTCAGAAATATAGATAAATAACGTTACTTTCAATACCAAACAATGTGTTATTAAAGACATTGACGTTGCTCAATTTTATGTATGAAGCAGCATTTGACTGAATTTGTATTTTTCTTTTAAAAAATAACGACACTTAAAAAAGTGATACAATTTAATTCTTCAAACACACTTAATTTTCTTTTCTCCTTCTCCTCATCCTGATGATGACTCACTTGAGTCAAAAACTTGAAACAACAAAACATGATTTTCGGCCACACACAACATTTGCGAAAGAATATTAATTTAGGTAAAATAGTTTATTAAATAGAAGATAACAAACATGCCTGTAGTATTTAACAATACATGCTTAAAAGAACAGCTGCTGCCCAAATAAGCATAAGTTAATCTTACTTTTTAAGAATTTCACTGCAGGAAAGGCGATATTGTCATCATGACGCAAGCGGTCCATAGGAGTGGAAGAGAATGAAAAGATATAAGCAAAGAAAAAAGGAGAATAAAGGAAAAGGATTCAGGAAGGCCGAAGATGGAGATTAACGTTTCATTTAAATTTTTTAAATTGTAGGTGGCAAGGAAAAATGGAAAGAGAGAAGTTCGGGATAAGAAACTATTAGAATATGACTTATCATTACATTGAGATGAATTATAATTCTTCCCTCATAATCTTTAAGATATCGCTAAAACCTGCCAAAACCTCCAAGAGAATAAAATCATTACATTAATTTGTTACATGTTAAATAACATTAAAAAAAGAGACCTAATTGCTAATCTGGTTTGAAGGCTAAATTCATGCAGTCGAGATACCAAGAACAATATTTATTTCTTTAAAAAATAGAAAAAAGTCGCAGAAATTCAAAAGCAGGAAAGGCTGCTAATAATATTTTTGTATTTATTAATAGCCACAATCACTGACCCAGACAAAGTATAATATTCCTTACACTAAAACAACACTTTCTTATTTACCATTCTTACTACAGTCACCATAATCCCACATGTCTCTGTGAAGTTCTAACAAGTTCCCGTATGTAGAATTCGTACCAAAGAGAGGAGCTTATTAGAACAACTGCCATAAAAATATTTATAGAAATAAAGACAAGACAGAGGGAAGCCACATCACAGCGGTGGGAAAGTGACTGAACTCGAGATGCCAGTTGAGTACCTATAACATTGCAGACCCTTCTTTCGATTTTGTCGACAATCTCGAGATATATAGACGAATTACCAGACCAGATATGGCAGCAATATTCAATGCACGGAGAAATAGTAGACTTATAAATGTGAAAGATAGATTCTAACGAGGATTTGGCAAGACACAGTGAACCAAGCAGCAAAAAATGATTTTACTCTCTTGGAGGTTTTTGCAGGTTTAAAGATTATGAGAGAAGAATTATAATTCATCTCAACTTAAAATATATGGTACTACCTTCACTTGATCTTTACAACAAAGATATTCTCCACTTATTTATCAATATGAATAGTAGTTATGATTTCCATGTGCGCTTAGTGGATCGCTGAACTGAGTTCAAATCTAGCCAAGACCATTGCTTGCCCTTAGAAAATATATAAATCCATTGCTATCCACCCCCTCAGTTATAGATTAAATAGTATTAATATTTAATCAGGGTAGGATAGTCTTGATTGGCAACCAGTTATTGAAGAAGGCCAACTCTGAATTCAAAACCAACACGGAGTGATTTTGGTAACAAAGTCATGTGTTATCCGTGATACACGCTTAGGCGATCATGTATCTGTCGATTTGTAACTGACTAAGAAGGGCACCTCGGTGTGGTGTAATGGTTAGCAAGCTTGTCTCGCTACAACCAATTACGATTGAGTACTGACTTTGATCCTCAGTGGGTGCCCCATACTTTCGGACTTGTGTCACATCTAAGGTTCGCTTAGAAAATCATTTTGGGCACCTCAACGTGGTTTAATGTCTAGCAAGCTTGTCTCGCTAGAACCAATTACGATTTAGTACTGAGTTCGATCCTCAGTGGTTTCTTGGAAAATCACTATAACTGACTAGGCAGCAGATTTTTAGGTTTCCGTTTCTTTCTGAGGTAGACTATTTGACAATCAAGGCTATAGGACCTAGTCTGTCTTTCTATTCAGCCCATAGGGAAGAAAAGGTGGATTCATACCTTTCCTAAGTGTATAAGTGATATTAAGGGACCCGACAGGAATTTGTACTCGGTTCATCAATTTCTCATCGCGAGCCGTTATCCATTACACCACATCACACTTAGTAACTGCGTTGTATTATTATTAATAATAATAATAATAATAATAACAGAAAAGTGCCTCCTTATTGATATGGCAGTCCCTGCAGACTGCAATGTATCTTTGAAGATATTCAAAAAGCTGTCAAAATACAAGGATCTTGAAATTGAAATCTCGAAAATGTGGCATATGGGAACATCAACAATCCCTGTTGTAGTTGGAGCCCTATGACTGGTTGTAAAAGATTTCTGGAAGTCCATGCCTCAAAGAGACACAAAAAATTTTTCTGACAAGTACAGCCCACACTTTACGAAGGGCTTTATCTATGTAATTTTATTTTTTTTTTTTGTCAGTGGAAAGTGTCATGATGCCATCTCTAACCTTCGGTCCCTGTGCGGGACCCGCAAAGAAATGTGTAAACGCCAGAAATCAAAGGAAATAAAAATAATAATAATAATAACAACATTGAGCATAGGCCAGAACTACATGCTCTAATTGTCACCTTATAGTCCAGAGGGTGTCTATAGGTTCAGAAAAAGAATTATACCGTAAGTCCTTCATTCTGTCATTAGAATTTTAAAACGTCATTTCATTTTACGGTGTAATGAACAAAAAAACAACAACACTATCCTTAACGTAGACTTCCTGGCGCTTTATGGACTTTTCTTACAAAGTTTAATTTTAGTTAACGTTACATAATTTATAATTTGAATATTTTCTAAAACCTTTCCAAGTTGTTTGTATACATCCTAGCTAACAATAGAAAATATTAGCGTTTGCCAAGAAAAAAAATAATGGCAGAAATTCAGCTTGTGCTGGTGGATGACGTAAGATTTCTTTATTACGCATGCGTAATACAAAGGGAACCCTTTTGCTACACCTGCGTGAATAAAATAAAACAAATTCATATAAAATAAAATTCAACTTAGTTTTTAAAAATTAATTTTCGAGATTTTTGTTTCCCACATTTTTTTTAAGACTGGAAGGATTTTAAAGACAAAATACAAGAACTGGGCTGAATTTTATAGTTTCTAAAAAAAAAAAATTAAATTAAAAGAGATAAAAGGTATATATTTTTTTTTCAAAATAATCATTAAAGTGTCAAACAAATTTAATAGCCCTAGGGCAGAAGATGACACGAGTAGAAATAAACAAAATAAAAACAATAAAACCAAAGTAAAAATAAACTAAGAAATAAAAATGAAGGGAAAGAAAGAAGGAAAAATGAAAAAAAAAACAAAAAAAAAACCCCAAAAAACAAAACAAAACAAAAAAAAACGTTAAAATGAATAAAAGACCTGATCTTGCGGAGGCGGGTACAACGCCATTGCATAGAATTTCTCATCTGGAAATAAATAAATGAAAAAAATAAGAAAATAAAAACCACAAAAAAGAATAAAAAAAGGGAGAGAAGCAACTTAAAATGCTTAAAAAATATATATATAAACAAAATTGGATATAAAAAAAAATGTAAAAGATGTCAATAAAAATAAAGAAAATATTTGTAGGGGAAAAGGGGATATCGCCAGTTCATGGAACAGCTCTTGTCAATTGTGATCTCTCTCAAGAGAACTGTGTAAATCTCGCGGAATGCTGTAATTTTTCTCGTTGTTTTTTTTTTTTTTTCGTATTCGAAACCTCGAAATTACAGACGAAATCGAGTCACGTGACAGAT